TTCCCTCGGGAGGTTGGTCCGGAGCGAGGCGTAGAGGCTGGTGTGGACTAATTTTCGCGTTGGGTCCAAGCTCATCGGGTCGGGCTCCGAATCGGGAGTGTAGACCCAGATTCCCCCGACTTGATTGTTCTTCTCGAATACTACGACCTCGTGGCCCTCGCGGCGGAGCTCGCGCGCCGCCACCAGACCCGCCGCCCCTGCGCCGATCACCGCCACGCGACGGGAGGACGGGCTCGGGACCGGAGGCGGCATCGATAAAGAATTGAGCGCCGCCGTTACCATTATTTGTGGACAGCGCCGGCAGATGGCCGCCTTATACAAAACTTGAAGGCTGTTTATCGATTTCGGAAGAAATGCGTAGTAATTTTGGCATTTGTTCATTTGTCTCTTTTTTAGATGAAGAAACATTATTGCACATGCGGGGAGTGGGACAAGATACGGTGACATGATTCACAACCCACTTCATAGTCTTTGGATACTCTCTCTCCAGTTTCTTTTTTTTTTTAAATTAACGGCTAAATTATACGTTTGGTCACTCAAATTATACAAATCTGTCACGTTTGTCACCCGAATTACTTTTCTTTCTTAACCTCGCGTTATGTAAAGTGCTAAGTCATTACGGAAGCTTTATGTAACGCTTCCAATTTAACTGTTACGTAAGAAATAACTATCGTTATTTAACCTTTACATAATGAATGTGTATTTTACGTAACAGTTGTAAAATATCTTTACGGAAGCCTTACGCAATGGAAGGTCTCTTTACGTAATGAGCATTAATGTCGTGTTACGTAAAGGTCTAAGTTATTACGGAAGCCTTACGTAACACTTCTAATTCAATAAGAATTAAAAAAAAGGAAAGAATAAAATATGGAAAACAACTAAATTTGAAATGGAAAGAAAAAAAATAAGAATGGTAAGTTGTGTAGTGGTGACTGGTGACCGGCAAGCCTTGTTGCCATTTATTTTCTTACTTATTTTTTTATTTTTTATTTCTTTAATCAATGGTTTAAATTAAGTTTGATAGAATTTAACGGTTTAGATCTATACAAGTTACCTAACTTGAAATTATACTCAAGTTATCGTAGGAGGTCCCATTAATTTTTTCATAAAAATTTGAGAAACAAACTATGACATGAAAAATTGAGTTAAATTATTTGAAAAATTGAGATTTTACCCATTTAGAATTTGAGAAACAAACTATGGAAGCCGATTAAGACGTCACCAGGTGGTCCCCCTCTATCGCACCTTTTTTTCGCTGATGATCTTATTCTATTTGCAGAAGCAACGGTCCAACAAGGTAGCACCATACTGGATTGCTTGGATAGGTTCTGTCTGGCTTCGGGAGAAATGGTGAGCAAAGACAAGTCAGTGGTTTTCTTCTCGGGCAACACAGACCGGACTACCTCTGGGGATATCATTCGCACTCTGGAGATCCCGGCGACGCAGGACCTGGGGCGGTACCTTGGAGTTCCAGTGCTGCACGGGAGAGTTACCAGAGAGACTTATAGGTACATTCTGGACAGGCTAGACAAAAAACTAGCAGGCTGGAGGGCAGACTCCCTGTCTTTTGCAGGACGGGTGACCTTAGCGGCATCAGTGCTCAACACATTGCCAACTTACGCCATGCAGACGACTCTCCTTCCTCAGTCGATCTGTGATCAGATTGACATGAGGATCCGCCGCTTCATTTGGGGGTCTACAGCGGACAAACGGAAGGTACATTTGGTTCATTGGGAACAGGTTTGCCAACCAAAGACAGAGGGAGGTTTGGGTCTGAGAAAAGCTCATGAATTAAATCTCTCTTTTCTTGCGAAATTAGCCTGGTTATTTATTAGCAATCCAGATGATCTTTGGGTTAAGGTGTTACAGGCTAAATATTTCAAAACAGCCAGCGGCGTGACGACTGCAAAATTGGCGAACAGATGCTCTAACATTTGGCGGGGAATCAAGAGAGCTTGGCCAATAATGTCCGAAGGAATGGCCATGTGTGTAAAAGATGGGAGAAGCACGAGTTTCTGGACGGACCGTTGGCTCGACCCGACAGTCATCTTACTTGATCATGTTCGGGTGGATGCCCCTGAGATTGACCCCTCGCTCCCCGTGGCAGCCTTCCTTGATGAAGATGGTAAGTGGGATGAAGCTCTTCTCCACTCTGTCTTACCGATGGAAGTTGCTGTGCAGGTTATAGGGACCCACCCGCCGAGAGTAGATGGAGGAGAGGACGCAGCATACTGGGGGCCAGAAGCAAACGGGCGCTTCCGGATCAAGTCGGCCTATGCCATTGCGTGTGGCCAGACCAATGCTACTCAGGTGTTAGAATGGAAGAAAATCTGGCGATGGAGAGGCCCAGCGCGGACGACTCATTTCCTGTGGCTGGCGGCTAGAGAAAGACTGCTGACCAATGAAGAACGTCATCGACGACACATCTCCACAACTCGTAGCTGCACGTACTGTAATGCTGCCCCTGAGACAGTTCTGCATGTGTTGCGGGACTGCAATTTCCCCATGTGTATTTGGATGCACGTTATCACCCTTACAGGATTGGCTCCTGAAGTACTTGCATCACCCGGACTACGATTTGAGTTTCGGGCTCATTTGCTGGTCTCTCTGGAAGACGAGGAATGATCGGGTCTTCGCCAACAAAACTGTCACTACTGAGGCCTTTCTACAGCGTATCCGAGCCTGGATTAATGTCGTGAGGACGGCTCTGGATAAGGATGGGCTCGTCCATATGCCCACCCAGCCCACAAGAACGGAGGCTGAGATCTCTTGGAAACCGCCACCTCCAGAGTGGGTCACTCTCAACTCAGACGGTTCCGTACTCCATGATACAGGTCAAGCTGCTGCTGGTGGCCTGCTCAGAGATCACACAGGACGCTGCTTAGCTGCGTTCGCTTGCAACCTGGGATATTGCTCCATCACCCAGGCCGAGTTGAGAGGTGTTGTAGAAGGGCTTCAGTTGGCATGGACCCTCGGCTATCGGCGTGTTCGCGTCGAGTTGGATTCGCGCTGCGCAATCCTTTTGCTTAAGAAACGCACCGGCGACACCCATCACCACACTGCTCTAGTGGATTGGTTTCAGGAGCTCCAGAGCCGAGGATGGGAAGTTTCCATCTCCCATATCTATCGAGAGGCCAACAAATGTGCTGACTGTTTGGCTAGTTATGGCCATTCCCTACCTCCGGGCGTGCATGATGTTTCTTGTTCAGTTCCTTTCCTGTACCATTTTCTTATGTATGATGCTCAGGGGCTCTCTGAACCCCGTTTGGTGTTGAATGAAAGCTGAGATGCCCTGCATCCATTACAAAAAAAAAAAAGGTAAAGTATGATTTTCACTCATTTAGAACTCTGCAATCGATTACCTCGAGGATCGCAACGATTTGTCTTCTTCGATTGAAATCTAGACTTCATCTTCTCGATTGAAACCCAGATTTCAAGCTTTCAAGATCCATCTTCCGAAACCCAGATTTGCAGCGACGAGAGGAAGTTGATGCCCTTCAATTGATTGACCTGAGGGAGCACCGGCGGTTGAACGGGAACTCTGGGAGGTGGAAGACAGAAGCAAAATCCTTTCCTTCTCCCTCGGCTCGAGTATCCTCCTCGATCTTAATGGCGAGTTCGGAGATTCTGTAAATGGCGATCTCCCGCGGTGATGGAAGAATCGAGAGATGGAGAGAGAAAATAAAAAGTATTTATTTTAAGTTTCCACCTCACATTTTTAATTGACTAACGGTTGCCAACTCAACAATTTCGTTAGTCCAGTCAGCCCGTTACTTGATACCGTCAAACAATTGGACGGAAGTGGCTATTTTTTGTATTTCGCCAAAAGTGACTATATTTGACCAAACCGTCAAAGTTTTGACTATATAAGTGTATTTGGCCGAGTTATATATATATATACCACCCAGATTATAGAACGAAACAAAATAGCATTTTATTATGCGAGTATCAACCGCGGTATAACGTGACAGACGACGTACGTACGCAAAGACAGGTTTAATTAATTAATCCCCCCACGTTTTCACGTACAGAACTTGTACGTCTCGTAGCGAACACAGCAGTGCCTGGCGGCGGCCTGAGCCCCCGCGGCGTCGGGACAGTGCTTCCTCATGACGGTGCGCGCGCCGTTCACGCAGTCCTTGCACGGGTCGGTGGGGAACTTGCGGTTGCACCCGACGTAGACGGTGAACGCCGTCCCCGACACGGTGTCGCCGGTGCAGACATCGGTGTCGGGCGTGACCAGCTTGTCGCCGTCGATGAATCCCAGCAGGCCCTCCTGCACGCCGCCGGGCAGCGTCGCGACGCTGCATTGGTAGTTGAAGACTTCCTTGTCCCCCGGAGGAAGGCACGCCGGGCTGCTGTCTTTGTAGCTTAAAACAAACGTCGTCGTAGTAGCGGTCATAATTAACAAGATGGTAATAATATTTGTCAGCAGAAAAGCTGATATTGACGCTGACGCCATTTCTCTTTTCTTTTAATTCCCTTCTTCTAGTTGATGGTCAGCATTATATATATATAGGAGCCGCGGCGGCCGTGGCATCGGTGGTGGTGCTAGGCGTTGTGGAGCGTGGGGGCAGGCGGAGGAGCGTCCGGGAGGAAAAGCCGAGGGGTTTGTGAACAAGAAGAAGTAGTAGCTAGCTAGCTAGGCAGGACTGACGTGACTTAGCTTTGTTTTTCTCTTCCGTCTTGTTTCATGGTGTTGTCTTGATCGTTGTTGTTATATTCGATACACAAATAGCTCTTGAACAACAATCATGACTAATGCATCAGACATGGATCATCATCTATTCTCATCGAAGTACAGACAGAAACGTACAGAGAACTCATTTACACAGTAAACAGAGAAAACCAGCAAATATGCAGAACCCTTGAATCAACTTCTTTCTAACAATATCAGGAAGCATGGAAACACATATGTAAGTGGGATGGCAAGGATCGTGACACGCAAAAGAGATTTTGATAAGCTACAGGATCATGCAACTGGCCTTTGGATGAGAATTTCAGCAAGTTCCTTGAGTTGCAGCAGTTGATAGATCACTAGACCCTATTTCGTGACTCTTGGTATCAGGACTATTCAACAGCTTCTGCAAAATTGGATGATCCAACTGATTCTTGGGCAACATTTCTAATAGCAGAGACATCGTGGTTGCATCAGCTGAGAAACCTTTAGAAACCATCTCAAGAATGAGGTCCATTGCTTCAAGTGGATCCTTATGGTGAAGAAATCCATGAATGATCACATTATAAGAGCAATTATCTGGTACACAACTATCTTCTGCCTCCATTTTCCTAAACAATTCATATGCTTCATCCACAAAACGTTGTCTGCAAAGTCCATTAATTGTAATGTTATATGTCCGGGTATCAGGTTGCAAACAGTTCTCTCTAGAGAGCCTAGAAAACATTTCCCTTGCTTCCTTTTCCCTGCCAGCTTTCCACAACCCATCCATAAGTATATTGTACCCCACAACATCGCACTTCAACCTACTTTCTATTACTTGAAATAGAGCTAATGCATCGTCAAGTTGACCTCGTCCACACAAGTAATCAAGCAAACTATTGTATGTCACAATATTCGGGGAACAACCTTCCCCACTCATTTTCTTGAGAATTTGTTGTGCATCTTTAAGCCTTCCTGCTTGACAGAATCCATTTACCATAGTAGTATATGTGACCGTATCTGGAGCCAAATCCTTCTCAAGCATATCATTAAGTAATTGTTCGGCTTCATCCATCCTTTTATTGTTACAATATGCATGAATCATGATATTATAGCTGTAAACATCATGTTTGCATCCCCAGTTGGCCATGGAATCAAATAATTTTCTAGCTTTGTCTACTTGGCTGCGCAAACTGTACCCATCCATCAATGAATTGTATATGACGACATGTGGAATCAATCCTCTTTGAATCATCATTTTCAGTATAACTTTAGCTCCCAAAACATTTCCTTCCTTACAGAAGGAATCTACTAATATGGAATAGGTGAATGTATCAGGCATGATCTTCCTGTCTGCCATTTCATTCAACAACATCATAGCTTTGTTCCTTGAGCTTGAAGTGCATAAACCATAAATCAAGCTATTGTAAGTAATAACATTTGGCTGAGTTTTTCTATCCTCCATCTCTGAAAACACATCTAAAGCTTTCGATACCAACCCACTCTTGCAAAGGCCGTCGATGATTGTATTGTAACTAACGACATTAGGTTGACAACCGAACTCCTTCAAGTTTTCGAGCAATTCAAGTCCAGCATTTGTTTGCCCTATCTTACAAAGTCCATCTATAATTATGCTATAAGTGAAAACATCCGGTTGATAACCCAAAATCCTAATCTTATGAACCAACCTTGCAGCCTCGACTACTTCCCCAACTTTACAGAGCCCGTCAATCAATGTACCGAGCATCACATCATCGAATTGAATACCGAGTTTCAAAGCTTTGCTCAAAACTGAGTAGCCAAAATCTACTCGACCCAATTTACAGAAGCAACGAAGCAATATGCTAAGTGTGTAACGATCGTGTGGGACTCCAGCTAGTTCCATTCGTTTAGAAGCATAGAAGGCAGCCTGGAAGGCCTTCATTCTAACAAGAGATGACACCAACTGACCAAATTTGACACCGGAAGGCCTGGGATTCATTTGGAGCATCCGATTAAATGAATCCAAGGCATCATCTACGCTAGCGAAAGTTACAGAATTGCAGGTCATAGGAGTAGATGAATTGCAGGTCATACCAGCAGAAGAATAAGGGAACTGAGTCATACCGGATTTTTTTCTTCTTCGCCAATGAAATAGAGAGCAGTTTCGATGGTTGATCCTAGCCATGCCGAGCTGCTGAACTGCTTTGAATTGAAAGCATTCACAATGAGAGACCCTGACAGCCATTAATAGATACTGCCAGCTCTTCGCCTATTCCGATAAGATAGCAAGCTCAATCATCCAAAATTCATTTCCACCGCGAACCCAGAATGAAAGATGCAAGCTTGACATCGAATCCGGAATCCAACCAGACGGAAACACAAACAACTGTGACGCCGGCGGCGGCGCGGAGGCAAGAACGCTGAGACTTTGCGAAGCACTCAGCCAACGGTTCAGTTGCTGGATTGGTAACAGTGTCACCGGATGGCTTGAGTCCACTTTGAGATTGGGCTCATATTTATTGGGCTTGCTATTTTGCTATCTTCTTCCAGGCCTGCCTTCCTGTCCATATGTTTAAGAAAATGGTTAAACTTCTACCCTGATTTAACCAAATCGGACCATTTTCCAGTCTAGCTACAAAGACCAGGAATGGCAATGGCCAATGGGCAGGTCCGGGCGGGTATCTCAATACCCATACCCGTTTCATAGCAGGTCAGGTTCTGGTCGGGTAATTTATAACGGGGAGCGGGTCGGGCAGGTCGACCCAATGGGTATGTAAGTTATGCGAAACACATTAGAAATATTCGTTATTTTCATTAAAAGACCAAGAAAAAAACCATTATATGATAAAATGTAGTTAAATTATTGGAGAAATTGAGGTTTTTACTTATTTACAACTTTTTATAGCTAAAATATGATATAATAAGAGGAAAATTCTAAGTAATTTGACTAAGATTACATGTAATCTAGGCAGGAACGGGTCAAGAATGTGGCGGGTCGGGACAGGTCGGGTCAGTGAGAGGTACTCATACCCGCCCTGTCCCCACCTACGGGACGAGTCAGACCAACTCCAAAACAGGCCAAACAGGTCGGATAAATTGGGTCAGGTCGAAATGCCATCCGCCCATCCTAACAAAGACGATAGCTAATGGAGATTTCGCTTTTTTTTTTCTTCTTCTTCTATATAATAATAGATACGGATTCATGGGTTAGAAACTCCCCATTTGGAATTTCCAGGCTCCACCTTCATTCACGGAAGGGAACTTCACAACTCACTTTTAAATGGCAGTGTACCGTTTTGGCGAAGGCATACAGATTTCCATGCCACCTGCGGGCTTTGTTTCAAATCCAGGTTTGTAATTGGGCTTTATCTATTTTTTTTAAACTGGGCTTCTAACACCAGTGGCGTTGTTAGCCCCCCTAAGAGCAGAACCAGGCAATACCGGCAACACCATAGTTATCTCTCGCCCAACGAAACAGCTACCCAAGTTGTCCTCGCCGGCTGCCGTCAAGAATTGCAGTGGGTTTACGTCGCCTCACGCGGCTTAAGTCGGACTCAATCTCTTCCCCAGAAAACCGCTACTGATTATCCCCGTTTGGACCTGATTACGCAACAACGGCGGGGATTATTCTCAACACCGGCTCAACTCTGCTTCATAACGACCTGCAACTCAGCTCGCCCGCGACAGCTAACGAAACAAGGTACATCATATCATCTCACCATTCTTACCCTCAGATAGCACCTGTCGACCTATATCTGATCCTTCTGCCCAATTGGATTTGTTCATCCGTGATATGCGAATGGGTCTACTTATTATAGCTTTGATTATGCTTTAATTGGGGAGAAGCCAAGAGGCATTTGGTGGGTTAATTGCAATAGATACCATTTAAGTGTCAGCTTGGTTGCAAGTTAGCCACTTAAATTTGTTTGGTTGCAACTAAAGCACTTATGCCCTATTTTCGTTGCACTGTTATCTTTTCCATCCAAAAAGTTAACGTCTAGTATGAAAACGTAATTTTCCAACCACACAAACATTGCCAGCTCAGTCTAAATTACTGATTCACATAGTACAAAACAAACTTACCTTAGATCAGAAACAAAGAAGATTAAACCAGAAACCAAAACAAAATGAAGAATTCACCTAGCTCTCTTCCACTCTTCTCCTATTTCGTAAAATTGAAATTGAAAAAGAAAAACTAAAGCTCATCCTCTTTCAAATGAAGATCAAGCCCAAGGACACCCAAACTTTCATGACTAGAATAATTGTGGCCACTGCAAAGTTCCCCTGTTTCTATACAGAAGAAACAGAGTATCAACATATACTCAATCACGACGTTGTGTAAAGGAATTTTCTATTCCAGTCGAAACCCTCATCGAGAGGAGCCAGCAAGATGATTGTCTTGTTGTTGCTATTTTCATCGGTCGACAGACTGCAGCTCAGAATCTCGAATGCGGTGTAGATAATTCTAAGCAACGGAAACGTTGCAGGAGAACGGTAGATATCAACATGAAATGGCTATCGACGAACTATTCTGGTCAGGAGTAGGGTTATCGACAACAGTGGGCGGAGAGATGAATTGGCGATTGGCGAGGTGAGATGGTTGGTTTGAGTAGGTTATATGATCAATGAGGTAGTGGGCAACAAAGATTCGACGAATGAGTTATATTTATCCGCAGTAGATGTTGGAACTTACAGAGGTAGCAAATTGAGGCTATAGTCTTTCTATCTAGGCTTGTCCGATGTACCAGATTGGTTGTGGTGGTGTTCAGGTGAGGTGGCAGTGGAGAGGAGCTTGGCGGATGAAGTGCAGGTGAGGGCGAGGAAGATCTCATAGGCGATGGAGCGCATGTCGGAATTTCTAAGTTGGGAGATGAGCTGACTTAGTGAGCACTCGAGGTTGGCGGCGAATGGCCTGATGGACATTGTTAATGTAGGACTAGATTTGGAGCTTGGGGGAGAAGGAGTGGACTGCTCAGTGATTGGCCTAAGGAGACAAAAAGAGATGGAGATTGAAAGGGAATGGAGGAAAATTACGTTTTCATACTTGATGTTAACTTTTTGGATGGAAAAGATAACAGTGCAACAAAAATAGAGTTTAAGTGCTTTAGTTGCTACCAAACAAATTTAAGTGGCTAACTTGCAACCAAGCTCAAACTTAAATGGCATCCAGTGCAATTAACCCGCATTTGGTTGCGAATGCCCTACATCTGCTTAGTTGGGAGTTTGTTTCACCTGTTGTGCGGTAGCATAATGTAGCCATATTCACTGCTTGGTTTAGCCATTATTATTAAGCAGTTGAGGGATTGGCAGCGGAGGCTCCGTCAAGAGGGCCGTAACATTGAGCGTCAAATCAGAGGTATTTTCATATTGGATTGCTGGGCTGGTGATCGTTGTGCTTTTATTAACCCTATGGACTTGGATGGATTTTGATTTTGGGATTCGGGTTGAACTTTTTTTTAGATATTCAGTGAGAAGAAAAGAATGTACAGAAAGCAATTAAAGAAGCAGCCAAGAGAAACGACATGGGCTCTGCTAAGGTACCTTTCTATAGAGTGAATGCCTCTAATGTGGCCGGTGAAAGTGTTTACAATGCTCCTGGTTCATTTTCCCCTAACTTTTCAGTTACATATGCAGCAGTAACCCACCTCTTCATCAAGGTGTATAGTTCTCCACCAGGGATCTAGCTCACAGTGTTTGCTGAATTATATAAGTCAGACACCTTTCAGTGTCGTAGTCAGGTTCAGCTAACAAGATTTTTGTTCAAATGGTCCGTAATCGCCCAACTCGAGCTGGTCCATCCTCAACAGCCACTCGGAGTTATGTTTGGCAGCCCAGGGGACAATGTACATTGTTAGCAGGCCGTGTTTTAAAATAGCTGTTCGATTATGTGGGGAAGACTTTGTGCATTTATGTAATTTGGTTTGTTGGGTAAATGCACAGGGTTCCTTAGGACTGTTTTCGCACCCCCATCAGGTCCAAGTCAACAACAAATAGCTGCTGAAACCCGTCCAAGGTACCGACTGCAACCCCCTTTCCCATTCCGAAGATGTTGCTGGTCGTGTTTAAGTGGACATTGTGTTCACTACATCAACTGTCAGATACGTCATATATATGCCCCATGTCACTAGAATCACTTCACATAGCAAATTGCATTCTTCAATTCTCCGTTCTTCAATTCTCCCAGGTCCATAGCCTTGGCATGCTTTTTTTTATTTGTGTATCAGCATTGGCAAGAAAATCTAATTCTTCTAATTGTCTATCTCATGTACGTTGGTCTTTTGCAAGATGGAAGTCAACAGAATGCGAGACTTGGATTCGGAGAAGCAACTATGGTCAGGGCATTGTCGTGTTTCTAGGTTATGGCTGGGAGTGAATGTCACGACGGACAAAGTACTCCATTTAGACTTGATCCTTCTGGATTCAAAGGTAATCCTGTTTTGTACAGCGAACCAATGCAAAATCTCAGCGCACCAATGCATTGGTGCTTCACAGATTTTGTCGCCAATCTCATAACCAAACTTACGCAGATGAAAACTGAAGGTATGCAAGTGGATCTTTCTTACTTCCTCTCAAGTAAAGAAGCGTTTTCCATGGATTTTAATGAGACCTCAGTCTCATTATTTTGTTCACACTTTGTTCAAGTCTGGTCGTACTACTCCCATCTCCAATCCCTTTATGTTTCCTATTTTAGTCTAATTTAATCGGCCCTTTGCTTCTTCCCAGCAACATCGTCAGTTCGTCACTACATAGTACATACGAGATCAATCCCTAAATTCCAAGTAGTACCGTCATCAGAGATAAAAGCACAAGAAGCAGACATTCTTTTTGGCATTTTCCTTCTTTTTCCGATTAGTGTGCTATACACTTAATTTATGTTATGACTTGCTTTAACTGGTCTTGCTTCCGTCCATGAATTTGGGTCTCTTAAAGTCCCGATTATTCCGGTTACTTGAGATACAAATGTTTTGCCAAGTGACTTTTGTCACAAAGTGGTATTGTCAAGAGATATCTCTTTAGATGCAGCCATGCGACAGTTTAGTGAAGAACCATGACTTAATTTATTCCTTTCCGGGTGGAAGACATGTTTCTGGTTTACATATGACATCGTGTCTCCAATTTATTACGTATGATGCTCTTAAATAGCCTAACATTTTGTTGGCACCATATTAGCTGGCTTATGATTTCCCACTTCCAATTAGAGGTTGGTTTAGTCGGAGAAGGAGTTCAGAATATATGTGTAAGCCTTAAGAATGGACAAGGTAGTTTCAATCTACCATGGATTTTCATTGTCCATGTAAGTTTGGTTTTCTTCTTTCTTTTGCTGGATAAGATCAATTAATCCCTCGGGTTCTGCATCTGGTGAGATTTGTAGTTAATGGTTATGCTTCTATAGAGATCTGTGGTCATCAGGTTCTCAATTTGCTGTTTAGTGTGTTGGTTTATTTTGGGATTCCTTAACGTTGGGGTTTGTTTGCCTACCATTTTTTATGTCGTGTAGTTTTAAGGTTTTGATTGCTCAATTGATCGCCCTTCTCCTCAATTTCATTGAAGTAATATGCTTGTTTAGGACATAAGGAGGATATAGTTTATCATTTTGTGTGGTAACTTGATCGAAACCCAATTTGATACTAACTTGCCGGTGATGATTCAGTTGCTTATGCTTTGATCTTCTAGAAGAGATTTAGAGCGAGTAACCATGTTTTGATGTTGAATCTTCATAGCCTGCCGATATCTACTACACTAGATGGTATAGAAAATTGTACATGAGAAAGATAGATGTCTACTGAAATCTCCAATATTGCAATGGAGCTACCATCAGTTTAGTGTTTGCAGTGTGTCGTTCTCATTCTTACTTACTTATTACATTATATTCAAATAAATCACCCTTCTAGGATGGTTTTTTTGTCTTGGCTAATTTTGTAATGGTGCCACATTTAAGTAGAGTGGATAAGTGAGATATCAAGTAAAGCATGATGTTCATTAGCATACCAAGATACAAATGCATCCAGAAGCATGTAGTTGCCGACAGAAATGATAGTTCATAGTTAATTTTCTTATTTATATTTCTGAGCTTTGATTCCATTCTTTCTACAACGTTTGGCAAGGAATGCAAGTTAACTGATAGTCATTGGGTTAGGTAATTTCGTTTGTTGAGTGGGTATATAATGGATAGAATTAAGCTTTTGTTGGAATGGGATAGTGATTCTTTTACTGTCTTTTTGTTTTCGTTTTGCCCTGCAGTTTTCTTAACTTTGCTGTAAGGATATCTCGAGCGGAGGAATGTGAAGTCGACTTACCTTATCACTGATCTATTTCTGCACTTTTAGTGTGTGGAGATTCCAGACTGGGAGCTATAGGAAGAGGTCGATTTGGACGTTGGGTTATGCGATTTGCAGCCAAGGGTTATGCAGCCAAAAGGAAGCTCAAGTCTATAGCTTTTTTCGCTAGGGATTCTCATATTGGTGAGGATGAAGAGATATGATTAGAAGGAATCACTGGAGAACTTGGGGAAGATGAAGCAGAACTATTGAGAATCTGAGATAGGATTTGAAGACAGAAGGAAGTCGTTTGATTGTTGATGAAGGACAGTTACTGGCTTCGGCTTTAGTTCTACTAATCCGGTCATTCAATCTGGTGGCTGAAGTATTGACTCATTCTTCTGTGGAATGAAAATCAATCAGACTATTGAATTGGTGGCCCGAGTATTTATTTCCCATTACTTTTTTACCGTTCATATCATATAACATTTTTCAAACCCTTAGAGATGATATTGCTTATTATAAAAGTTCATCTCATATAACTTTTTTTTTTGTTCTAAAATTTTGTTCAAACACCATTTTATTACAAAAATTACAAAAACAAATGAACTATTTTCAATTGGGTTTATATTTTAATCTTTATCAAATATGATACGTAGGTTACCCGCCCAACGGGGCGGGCCCGGTGCTAGTTTTTTAGATGAAGAAACATTATTGCACATGCGGGGAGTGGGACAGGATACGGTGACAACCCCTTAAGGGGTTTGTCAGATTCACAACCCACTTCATAGCCTTTGGATACGCTCTCTCTCCAGTCTCTTTTTTCTTTTTTCAAATTAACGGCTAAATTACACGTTTGATCACTCAAATTATACAAATCTTTCACGTTTGCCACCCGAATTACTAAACTTTCTTATTCGCCACTAACTTTACGAATCGTTTCACGGTTGGTCACCGGCCGTTACACTCCGTTAAGTTTGTCCTACGTGGCAGTCAACTATAAAGTTTGACCGTTAACTAGATGATAGCATCGTATTTGCACGTGTTTTCACTCTGGTTTCCTGTCCATTTTGGCTCGAATTGATTGTTCCTTGGCCTATTTTACGCTAGGTTGTGTTGTTTTGTCGTATTTCAGGTCTTAGCAAGTAAAGAGGTGCATAGGCGCAAGTTTCGGGTCATTTGGAAGTCAGATGGCGAATCACAGAAGGAATTACGGGCAGCCCCTGCCAAATTACTTTTTTTTTTTGACGGGAATCTGTGAAACTTCTTATTAACCAGTGTTGGCGGTTACATTATCCAGCTGTAACTGGTCAACTAAAAAGAAAGGAGGGTTATCCATCCAAACAATACACTCATTCCATCTCGTTTCTGTATGTGCCATAATGTGAGCTGCATTATTCCCGTCACGACCGACATGCTGCCAAGTTCCTGTCCCTGACTCTTCGAGCAACCGGCGGATGCTTCTGCAAATCACTCCAATCTCCGAGTTGATAACCTCGGCTGCTTGGATCTTGGAGACCAATCCCAGGCTGTCAACCTCAATGACAAGGTTCATAAAGTGATGCTGATGCGCCATTTGAGCACCAAATTCCGCTGCCCTCGCCTCTGCCTCTTCAACCTCCCACCTACCAGGAACTTTCATCGATGCCGCCATCAGGAACTGGCCCTGCGAGTCCCGAGCAACCATACCCAGACCGATTCCACCTCCCTGAAGGATGGCAGCATCCGTATTGATTTTTATTCGTCCAGGATCCGGTACACACCATATCTTGGTTTCCCTCGCGTTCTCCTGGATCAGCACCGCAGCTTGCTGGGCCCTATAGCTGGGCATTGCGCTCTCGCCACAAGAACCACAAGGCGATACACCAGGCTTCAACATCCTCCTTATCCCTCCCCGCCATGGCTTCAACAGTCCATCGGTAACAGTCCTCCGACGTCCGGCAGGAGAAAAGAGCTGTCAGATCAGAGGCCCGCCAAATTCTAGAGGTCCATTCACACTCACCAAAAAAGTGTACCTGAGTTTCCTTGCTATCACAGAAAGGGCATTTATCGCTCCACTTCGTGCTCTTCGTACTGATATTGTCTCCCGTCGGAAGGATTCCTCTCATAAAGCGCCACATGAAATGCTTTACTTTAGGAGGGATTTTCATTGACCAAAGGAACTTCCAGGTGGCCGCATCACCAGTTGGGGTCATATTACGCTGTCGGAGGTAATTGTCCAGCCAAAACTTGTAGCCATCCTTAACAGTGTAATCACCCGACGCACTTGCCGACCAGATTAGCTTATCTCTTTCCCCATTCCCCCTTAGCGGGATTTGCAGTATACGCTGCCCCACTTCAGCTGGCACGCATTCTTCAATGGTGTCCCAATCCCACCTCTCTGTTTCCGTAATTGGTCAGAGCATGCCCGTACAACATTTGCCGAGCCTTTTTCCCAAGATTTCTCCCCGGCACAAAAATTACGGGCAAGACTCCAGCAAATTACGACCGTAATTCCCAAAATACTGGCGGTAATTGGGAAATTACGGGTGTATCTCCTCTTCCTTCAGCTTAATTGAAACGTGCGTTTTGGGGCGAATTACGGGCAGGACGTGATTACGGCCGTAATTCAGCCCGTAATTCGCCCAGAGTCGGGTTTTTGAAGGCAGATTCGAGCCAAGGAAGAGGTATTCGAGTTTCTAGAGCAAAAACAGAGTTTTAGAGAGAGAGAGAGCGACTTGGGAACGTTCTTGAAGCTATTTTGGAGGATTTCTTCGCCATTGGAGCTCGGGAATCAAGCTTGGAGATGGAGATTGAAGATCTAGATCAGATTTCTGCAGTCTCTCTCTTCTCTATGGAGTAACTACCCTTCACTTAGGTTTTGAGGAAACCTAGTTCCATGTGTTAGGATCTTTCTTGTATGAAGTTTTGGATGCTATATTGTTTGATTATAATCGATTGAGGCATGATTTATTGAGTCAATTGAATCTTGATCAAATTCTCTTGATATCTGCTTTAACCTATGATAGATAGAATCTGATTAGGTTAAGAGAGCTTCCTTGATTGATAGTGGTGAATTGGTTGTGCGAGAGTCAACCAATTCACTGCTTTGTACTGGAATTCATTCCAGTAGTGGAGATTTGTGTGAATCGCCTTAGCAGTCTATCCCGGTGAAGGCTAGTCGCCTGCCTGGTATTCTGTCTGAGAGGGCTTGGTCAGCTTAAGAGATGCCAAGCTAATTTAGGATCTGCCGCAATTTAATCAACAGTAGATCAACCAAAGGTAATTGCAACTTGGACCTAATTGAGGAGCTAGGGGGAATCATACCTAAGTGAGTTCCCAACTTGTAATTAGTAGAGTAGTCAGTAGAATAGTTTATAAATCAATCCTTAATCTAGTTTGCTAGATAATGAACTGAAGCTGAGTAATAGTAACTCTAGAGACCCGTGGATTCGATATTTATTACTTGTGCCACTATACTGCAGTCCCTTTAATTGGTTACACTTGGCCACTGTTAGGTGTTGTGTTTTAGCGTGTCAAGTTTTTGGTGCCGTTGCCGGGGACTTCTAGATTATTGGGGAAACGTGAGAATTTGTTACGCTAGCTTTTTATTTACTGCATTTTATCTCTTCCACCTGTGTGCCTTCACGGGTTGCTTCTGCTGATTGTGTGCAGGTAGTGCATGACCCGTAGCCAGTCGGGAGAACTACTACCATTAGACCAGGAGCTTGAACGAACTTGCAGGAACTTCAAGCGGGCTCTAAAGGCGCGACTGGCTGCGGAGGAGGAGCTATCACAGCTGCAGTTAGAAGAAGAAGAAGAAGAGATGGCTGATCCAGAGAACCGTGATGTGATCCCCGAGGAGCAGACCATGGGATCCTACTGGACCGCTAGAGCTGCGGACATGAGGTCACCCATTCAACACCCTCATGTCCCAGCCAACAATTTTGAGGTGAGCACCTCAGTGATCACCATGCTGCGCGGTTCAGTGGTGTTCCGTAGTAAAGAGGGAGAGTGCCCCCGATCACATCTCAGGCGATTCCACGAGCTCATCGATGGAATCAAGATCAATGGGGTACCACCAGATGCCATCCAGCTGAGGTACTTCCCATTCACTCTGGAGGGGCAGGCCAAGGAGTGGCTAGACACTCGACCTCCGGGCTCTATCACCACGTTCGCCAACCTGGCGGACAAGTTCCTCACCCGCTACCATCCTCCATCCAAGACAGCTGACCTGCAGAAGCAAATTACACATTTTGCTTGGATGAGGATGAGACCATCAGGGATGCTTGGGAGAGATACAACAGTCTCTTTCTGAGGTGTCCAAATCATGGCTTCAATGATGCCTTCAAGGTGGGCACCTTCTATCACGCCCTCTTCTCGGAGGACAAGCAGCTGATCGATTCGGTTTGTGGCGGGAACATGCTGACCAAAACCCCGCCACAGCTGAATCAACTCTTTGAGGAGATGGCGGAGAACGGGTACGATTGGGGTACTGCCAGGAGGTCGAGGAGAGCACCCAGCCGAGGTGTACATTCTGTGGGAGCCCATCCCTCTGATTTGGTGCAGGTAGTATCGAAGCTGGTTTCAGCTATCGATCGTTCCGGGATGATTCTAGGGACCGGACAGTAGCAGGCGATGCTCTGCCACTGGTGCGAAAGCACCCATCACACGGTGGAAGACTGCCAGGCGATGAAGGAATCAACCACACCCCAGGAGCAGGTGAACTTCATCAATAATGTCAGGCGCAATGACCCCTACAGCAACACGTACAATGAGGGGTGGCGCCAGCATCCTAACTTCTCCTGGGGTGGGGAAAATTCCAGACCACCAGTCCCCCAGGGACCGCCGGGCTTCCAGAGGCCACCATATCAGCCCAGACAGGGGCAATTCCAGCAGCAACAACAGTCTCTTTATCAGCCCATGCATGGGCATGCTGCTCAATCACAGCCGCGACCTTTCCCGCAGCCAGGTGCAGCCCCTGCTGCCCTAGTGCAGAATGATCAGATGGCCGAACTGCGGGACTTGGTGGGTTCTCTCGCCAGTTCTAGTGCTCAGAAATTCAACACTATTGAGCAGTTCATGGAAAAGGCCTCGGGTAAATTCCTGGCCCTTAAAGCTGGTCAGAGGAACACACAGGCTGTCTTGCAGGATATCCAGACCCAGCTGGGGAGCATGGCTCAGGTAGTGGCTCAAAGGGCTCCTGGTACTCTACCCGGGCAGACTATCCCTCATCCGCCAACCCCGAATGAGCACTGCAATGCCATCATGACCAGGAGTGGCAAGATGACTGTTGATCCACCGGCTCGGGAGCAAGAGAGAGAGACCCCTGTTTTAGTGTCTCCAGCGGTTGAAGAAGAAGCAGAAAAGGAGGTTGAGGTGCCTGCACCTAAACCTCAACCGGTAGTGAAGGAATATATCCCGAAACGTCCCTTCCCTACACGGTTGCACAAAGACAGGCTGGAGGCAGAGTTCGAAAACTTCATGGCTATGCTTAAGAAGCTGAATGTCCAAGTGCCCTTCCTGGAGGCACTATCGCAAATGCCTAAGTATGCGAAGTTTCTGAAAGAGCTTCTCTCAAAGAAGCAGAAGCTGAGTGAGCTGGCCACTGTGGAGCTCAGCGAGGAGTGCTCGGCTATTCTGCAGAACAAGCTTCCGCAGGAGCAGAAGGACCCAGGTAGTTTTACTATCCCGTGCTCTATTGATAAATTGCATGTATAGAGGTCCTTGGCGGATTTAGGTGCTAATATCAATGTTATGCCATATAAGTTGTTCAAGAAACTAGGCCTAGGTGAACGCCGTGCTACTAGGATGACCCTTCAACTAGCTGACCGATCTGTAGTGCATCCTAGGGGCATAGTGGAAGACCTTCTGGTTAAGGTTGGCAAATTCAAATATCCTGTGGATTTTGTTGTCCTGGACATCAATGAGGACACAGAAGTGCCCCTTATACTGGGAAGGCTTTTCCTGGCCACCGCCAAGGCTCTCATAGATGTGCATGATGGGACCTTAGTTTTGAGAGATGGCGAGGAGCGAATAACGTTTTCAGTTGCTTACACTATACCTGCTTCGTTACCTCTGCATGCTGTATCTCACCAGGAGCACGAGTCTGTCGTGTATCCTTCTGTGCTGCCTATTTTGCAGGACCCGCCTCCCATACCTTCGCCGCCACTCCAGTCCACACCGCCCTCAAAAGAACAGATCAAGGAGGAGTGGCGGCCGAAACTGCGGGCAGCTAAGCCTGCTCGAAGGAAAGCCGGAGACCACTACGAGCTGGTCCCGCCCCCGCCTTGGCCATCCGAGTATTCACTCGCTTGCATCTTGCCGGATGGCCAAGTCGAGTTGGCGAATGCTGGTGGCCACATTCGTCGCGTACATGGCCACCATTTGAAGCTGTACCTCAAGAGCGATGTGGATCCTCTCTTGAAGGCACCTGATCCTACACTTCTCTGAGCATCCATACTGGCGTCCAGCTAAAAGACGGTAAAGAAGCGCTCGTGGGGAGGCAACCCCACCACGGTTTGCATTTCTATCCTTTTTTCCTTTTAATTTGTGTCGTTTTCGAGTCATTGAGTC